GGTCGTTGTTTCTCCTTTCAAGGCGATCTGCTTCGACGACTTGAAGACTCATGCCATCTTTTGGATGCCCTACCTCCCATATGGGTGGGTTCTCTGTTGCGATCCATTACAACACCAAGCTCGGCCGAAGTTCGAGCTTCTCTAACTAACACCCCCGCTTATCTCACCCCACATAACAAGTGATGAGGAATCAAGCGTATTTATTTGCACGAGACGCCCACTCCTTTTATTTTCAATACTGGTAGTGATCTCGAGGCCCCAATCTCGAGGCGATTTCATTAACGCTAAACTCCATGAGACGAACGTCGGTCGACATTCACCACCGCCTAGTTATCCAAACGACTTTTTGAAGCACATGCACTGGCTGGGCAAGGACAGAATTATCAATCCAACCGGCCAAAATCCAGGCCCCAAGCTAGGACGAATTTGTCGTAGCCACTCCACTCACTGGTTTTCGGCTTCCTCAGGCTACAATGACCTAGTTATCTAGACGACGATCACAAATAAATGGCCTAGTTACAAATGGCCCAATTACAATGGCCTCATTCAAGACTAAACAGCTATCACGTATGGGCCGACCTTGCCTATAAACCGGCGTATCACTGGACATTTAACAAATACTCAAACCGATCAACATTTATACATTCATTCAAACAAGTATACAATAAAACGAAACACGTACATGCCAAATACGAACTGCAATAAAATATTTATAATAGAACGTTTCTATTCAATCAAACAAACAATAAATTACATAGTTTTGAACGTGATCTGCGTTTCAACCTTACAATAGGTATATTTATACGGCGTCACCCTTATCCTCACTCTTCTCGACTTCAAAAGCGGAAAACGAAAAATGTTTACTGTGGTAGAGTGGTAATGCCGAATCAATGCCCGATGCTCGAAGAGTTTCCGTGGCTTGAGATGCCTTGATCCAACCGTGCCTAAATCCACGATTTTCACATCGGCAAACCTCTTCGGCAAGCTTCTCCTTGGTCTTTTCGATTCCAACTTTTCGGCCTTCATGAAAACCTTTTTCATAGGCCCTCCCCTTCGCAGACTCCATTGTAAACATACTCGCCGTCTCACAATCGGCGAGCACGGTACTGATGAGCCGACTGGTAACCCTTTCCTCCATAATTGGGTTTCCCTGCCAGCGGGTTGTACCTGAGCCGCCCTGGTCTTCCTTAACTCATGCTCAACCGCCTCCGCGCGAGCCTTCAAACTTTGAATACGTTCCTCCTTCTTCTCCAATTCTCGACAGGCAGCGCGCAGCCGCATGCCAATTTCATAGGCAGTGTAAAGCCCTTTCACCGCCCCGTGAATGCCTTCGCGAAATATGTCATAGTCCTGTCGACCTACCATTGACTGCTAAACCTCAGGAGGAAAAATTTGTCGAGCAAACTCGACCGCTACATTTGGGTCTCGAACGATCGAGACTTATCATCAGTTTGTGCGCTTCCCGACAGCCCATGGCATTGAAGAGATCTGTGGCTCCCTCCAATCGGCACAAACAGAGATTTAATGAAAACCCTATCACTGACCCGATCTATGGGCTTTGATACTTGTATATATATCACTTCTGTAATGCAAACCATTTTTCTTCGTGGCTCAATTCATTTCTCAAAGCCCCCTTGGGTGCATGACACCTTAGGGCCGATTAAAGTCTCTGGATTTGGAGCCCCTTTTGGTGCATGACACCTTAGGGCCAACTAAGACTCC